ATCCATGCCCAGCCCCGAGCACCGTGTCCATTAGCCCGGGAGGCCCGAGGGACGTGCTGCCCAAGGTCAGAGGGACAGGCAGGGTGAAGGGCCTCAGCTGGGCCACCCCCAGCCCAGGGTCCCCACGAGGCCCGGGACTCAGGGCAGCACCAGCCGTGATGCCCCGGAAACACATCCACGCTCACGCCCAGCCCCCCGCGCCCGGTCCCCCAGCTCAGAACACGGTGACCCACCCAGAGCAGGACAGCCACCTGGGCACAGCACACACACACTCAGACACAGATGCACAATCACACACACACATTCAGACACACTCAGGCACACACATACACTCAGATACTCTCACACAGATACACAGACACACATACACACAGACACACTCACACACTCAGACACATACTCAGACACACACAAAAACACACATATTCAGAGAGATGCACACAGACACACACATTCAGACACACACGCATGAGGTGCGGGCATGGAAACGGGGATCCCACTGGCTCCAGTTCCTGTCCCCCACATGGTGACTGGGACCCCTCTCCCACCTCCTTGGGGGAGGGGCGCAGAGAAAAGGGATTCTCTGGGGTCCCTCCTATGCGGGGGGCCACAGGGCCTCTGCTGGGGGTGGGGTGCTCGCTCCCCCATGGACATCAGGCCGGAGCTCTCAGTAAGGCCGCTTGTCGGGGCACACAAGGCTCTGAGCCCCCCCAGCCCACCCCTGTTACCAGCACCCGCTGCAGGTCCTGGGACTCGGGCCCTCGAGCCCTCGGACAGGGCGGCGTGTCCAGCCCACAGGCCCGTCCAGCCGGCAGCTTGCAACCCTGCTGCCCGGCCCCGGGGACCATCACTCTGCAGCTATTCTTGGAAGCAGAATGCTCGCGGCTCAGGCCAGAGTGGGGACGGGCGGGCAGCAGGTCCCGCGGGTCCCCCTAACCCCCCCCTGCCCGGCGCGAGAAGGTCCCGTGGTCAGGCGGTGGCTGGCCGCAGCTGGCTCTGAGCCCCGAGACCCCGAGAGGGCCGTGGGGGGGGGCACAAAGCAGCCAACCCGCCCGCCGTCCCGTGGCCTCTGCCCTCACCCGCACCCGGGGGGTCCCAGCACCCGCCTTCCCGGGGCACCAGGCCCAGCACAAACCCCCCCTCCATGCCAGCCCCAGGCAGCTGAGGGGCAGCTATGGGTGTCCCGGGCGGACCCCTCTGGGCTAGGCCACGAGTGTCGGGGCCCCCTGGGGGTGCCCTCCGGGAAGGGGCGTGAGAGCTTGGGTCTTTTGCGGGGGGGGGGGGGGGGGGCACACCTGGCTGTGCTCGGAGCTGAGTCCCGGCTCTGTGCTCGGGGACCCTCCCGATAGGGCTCAGGCCACCGTCCAGGGTGTCAGGGCTTAAACCCAAGTCGGTAGCCAAGCCAGTGCCCTCCCGGCTGCCGTGGTCCCTCTGGACAGAGCCCAGGCCAACTCCAGGGGCCCCCATGTCCAGACGCCCCATCTCCACACACACCCCTGTCCCCCCACCCTCACAGCTCTGGTCGGCAGGACCCCACCCCCCAGGGACTCCGAAACCCACACCCAGGCCAGGGGCTGCCGCCCAGGGGAGTCTGCAGCCAGCCCGCCCCCCCCCTCTCCTGCGCATCCTGGAAATGCATCTTCAAAGGGACTTTTCCGGAACCTTCTCCGAGGCGGCGCAGCCGCTGGCCCCAGGGCGGAATTCATTGATTTCTTTTCCACGTCAACTTAAGTGTGCCGTCAGAATCAATTTTCTGCGCCCGGATGCCGCTCCCCCGCCCCGGCCGTGCCTCGGTCTCCTTGGCTGTAAGCTCAGGTCACTGGGAAGCCGATGGAGAGATAGTCAGGTCGGCACAGGGGGTCCCTGTCTCTGGGGGTCAGGCCGGGCGACCCTCCCCACCGCGTCCAGGCCCTGCTGCCCACCTGGCAGCCTCTGTCCCCACCACGAGGCGCGTGGGCCCGCGGCAGGATGGTCACTTCAAAACCAGCCCCAAAGAAATCGGGGCTGGGGGTGCGGGAGAGGTGTGCGCCGTGGTCTGCGCCGTGCTCCCCCCCAGCCCCACCCAGTGACTCCTGAGCACTGAGCCGGGATGAACCTCTGAGCACCGCCAAGCACTGAACTAGGAGGCTGGACCGGAACAGAAGGAAGAGCCAGTTTCCCGCCGCTCTCTGGGCTGGACGGTCGATCCCGTCCCCCTCCCCAGCCCCGCTGAGCCCACCAGCCCTGAGTCTTGCACTCAAGAGGCACCTGTGGGCTGCAGACCGGCTTCCTGTGAAGCAAAGTGGGCCCCCTGGCCAGGCCTCGTGGGCTCCTCTGCTGACAGGACTCCACGTCCACCCAAACTGCCGCTCGCTCCATCAATGCCCACAGCTCGCTCCCAGGACCCTGAGCCGACAGGAAGCCTCACAGGCGTCACATGACATGCACGGGTCAGCCACTTTTGCTGACCATCCCCAAGGGGTAAATGCCACCCCCCCCCCCCCGCACAGGGGCCACTGCCTCCCAGATGCAAACCCCAAAATCAAAGGGGAGGAGGCGGGTAGCAGGCCCACAGTGAGGGGGGAGTGGTGGGCGGGCAGTGTGGGGGCGGCCCTCCGGGCACTGCCCAGCTCCCCCAGGGGCCAGAGCCAGCCCTGTCTTTCCTGCAGAAAACTCAACTCTACGTCCAAAAAGCACGGACGGCTCAGGGCAAGCCTGAGTGCCCGGCCTCCCCCCCCACTCCACCATGGAAAAAAAAAAAGGGAACGAAAAAGGCGATTTGATTTCAAGGCAATTAAAAATGTATTAAGTAAACAGTCGGGGGAGGGAGGCCGGGAGAGGAAGTGAACTTGGGGAGATAAATGTCGCTTTATGGAAATGGCTTCAATTATCACCTGGCTTGGGAACCCGGTAAAATAAACAGCAAGCCCACCGAGGGGGCCGGAATTAATTAACGGAGGGAAGGAAGGTTCTGGGGAAAGCGAGCCCTGGAGAGGAGCGGGCCTGGGGTGGGGGTGGGGGGACCCAGGGGCGCCCAGAGAGGAGACCCTGCGACTTGGCGGGACCGACAGACACACTCAAGGTGGGGGGCAGGGCCCCAACAGACCCCCGTGTCACACCCATGACCCCGGGGCTGGCTAAGGCCCACCTGCAGACCCCAGGCTCCACGTGGCTGCTCAGGGCCGGAGCCATAACACAGCAGGGAGGACGCTTGCCTGGCCTGCGGCAGACCCGGGTTCAAGTGCTGACATCCCATAGGGTCCCCCCACCCCAGAGCCCCGCCAGGAGAGATTCCTGGGTGCAGAGCCGGGAGGAACCCCTGAGCATCCCTGGGTGTGACCCAACAACAACAAAAAAGAGAAACAAAAGAACTAAGAATGTTTGATCTCACTCAGATATAAAGGAACCAAGCAAGGGTCCGGCAAGGGGCCAGGAAAGATGCCCCTGGGCCATCCCCCCAGCACTGCAGGGGTGGGGCTGCCTGGGGACCCCCAGTCTGCACTGGAGGGGCTGGCGTGAGGGGGGCTTTCAACTCAGGGCCCCCAGGCCGCTGCTGAAACCAAACAGGGAAGTGAGTCGAGGGACGTCCAGCTGTGGCGGGGCTGGGCAGGGCGTCGGGGGCCTTGAAGGGGGGCGGCAGGGACCCCGGGGACCCTGCGTCCCACCTCCCGTGCCAGCCTGTCGGAAGAGAGACGCCTGAGTCCGTGTCCCCGAGAAAGTCTCGTACTGGTGGGGCAGGAAAGCCTGGAGTGACCATGCGGAGTGACCAGGGCCCAGCACCTGCACTTCCCCTTGGTGGACACCAACTCGGTCACCCCAGGAGGAGGGACCCGCGGGGCATCTGGTGCCCGTGTGTGCCCCCAGGGCGTCCGCAGCCCCCCAGCCCTGCTGGTCCCCCGGGTGCCAACAGAGACACAGCAAGGACAGTGGGAGGGCCAAGGTCAGCCGTACGGCAGCCACCAGAGGAGGATGGGTGCCCAGCAGGGAGGGAGAGAGAGGGAAAGAGAGAGGGAAGGAGAGAGGAGAGAGAGGGAGAGATGGGGGGAGATTGAGAGGGTGGAGGCAGCCTGTGCAGGCAGGGCCTGGCCGACCGACCACCCACTGTCCATAGTTCTCAGCCCCAGAGAAGCCCCAGGAGAGTCTCTGCCTCAGGCCTGCACACAGCAGGAGACCACAAGGGGCAGCCGTGGGGGGCCAGGCCCTGCCCCAGGACTCTGCAGGGCCGCGGCCCTTTTTCCACCAGAGCCGAGCCTGGTCTGGGTGGGGGTGGCCGGTTCCCGTGAAGGCACCATCCGCGCTGAGTGGCCGAGGCGGTGCCCGTTATTCCATTATTGACAGGCCCCACCTGGGAGCCGCTGAAGTGGCCATGAGCTGGGGGCTGCGTGCCGAGCGGGGGGAGGGGGGCTGCAGTGTCCCCCGGGACTCCCCGGGACCACCCAGGACGCAGCCCGTGGCCCCTCCTCACACGCATCTGAGGGCCTGGGCAGCCGCTGGGCAGGAGGGCCAACTCGGGCCTGGCCGGGGTCCCTGTGGGGTGACCCACGCCCTAAGGGAGGGGCAGCTCAGCTGCAAAGCCCCAGCCAGGCCCCGACAATGACACCTGGGGGTGCAGCTCAGCACCCCAAAGTTCGAATCCCACAGCTGACCTCTGACCCGGCCTCCATCCTGAGGCTTCCCAGCCTGGGCGCTGGCCAGCCGCACCGTGTCCTCCACTGTGTCCAGAGGCCCAGGGATGGGGGGGTGCCTTGAGGACAGAGCACTGGGTAGGGAGCACTCACCCCCCACACTGCCTGTGACTCTCCTCCACTGAGAACGGCGGGTCGGAGCAGGTCGAAAGCCAGCAGACCTTCCCCTTTGCCCTTTCCCCTTTGGCCGGGGCAGCTCCTGTCCTGGGGTCATCCTTGTGCCCTGCCCTGCCCAGGGTGGCCGCCGCGGGCAGCCCACCCTCCCCCTCCTGCTCCCCCGACCCCGGGACCCCCTCCCCCAGCGTTGAGCTGGGTGGGGCGGGGACGGCCACTCACCAGGCAGACGCACTCTGGAAGGTCTGCGGCGGTGGCGGGCTGCGGGGGTCCCCGCGCGGCCGGGGGGGCGGCCGGGGGCGGCGGGGTCCGGGCCGGGCGCCCCCAGCCCCGCGGCTCCGGCTGTGTCCAGCGGCCGCGCACGCCCCAGCGGGCCAGGTAGAGCTGGCAGGCGTCCGAGTTCATGGCCGAGTAGTACAGCAGGTCCAGGGCCAGCAGTGCCAGCACGAACAGGCCGTAGATCCACACGCCCAGCAGCGCCGTGTAGTTGCTGGGGGGAGGGGGCAGGGGTGAGGCGGGCTGTGGGGGGCTGCCAGGGCCCCCGACCCACACCAAGCCCCGGCTGGTGTCTCTGAGCACCCCCCACCCCATGGTGCTGGGTCCTCTCGGGCCGGAGCCTCTCTCCAGCGCCCGTGTTCTCTGCCCAGAGACGCCCCCGGGCGCGGGCACCACTTCAGGGCACGGCCCGAGAGAGGACAGCGGGGCGGGTGCTGGCCCCATCCTGGCACCCATAAGGCGCCCTGAGCACTGCCGGGTCCCGGGGGTGGGGGGTGGAGTCGGAAACGGCTCCCGTCCAGGGGGGCTCCCCTGTTCTGTGGGGAGAGAGGGCGGAGCCCAGGGTCGGAGGTCACTGCAGATCCCACACCCCACACTTGGCAGAGGTCACGGCCACGGCAATACCGTGGGTGGCGCCAGCCGCGGTGCCGGGAGGGGAGCTGGCGTGGGGGGACACGGCGTGAGGGTCTCTGCACCCCTGCCCTGCCGCCCCAGCACCCTGACGCCCCCCCAGCCTCCCCCTCTCTGATCTGCCTGCAGGGACGAGGGGGCCCCGCCCCAACCCCACAAGCTCCCGGTGGTCCTTGGCACCGGCAGGCAGCCGCCCCCTTTGACTTCCGGGCCCCCCATCCTGGCCAGTGTAGACCCCTGTGTAGACACAGAGGTGAGACCCCTGTGGGTCTTGGGGCCAGCAGCACCTCGGGGCCCGGCCCAGCCCCGGGAAAGCAGAGCCTGAGGAAAAGGCCCCCCGCCTGCGGCAGCCCCGCCCAGACAGATGCTCCCCAAATCCAGAGTCGAGCTAGGCCCGGGCAAAGGCTGAGACATCGGGGCAGCCCCGGCCTGGGGGAGGCTGGCGGGGACCCGGCCCGGGTGTGACGGTCACTGGCGTCTCTCCAGAGGGTCGCCAGGCTGGGGACGTGAGTCAGGCACCCAAGGCCAAGGGCGCCTGCCTCCACTTCCCTCCAGAGTCATAGCCCCGTGTGCATTTTTTCTTAAAGGGAAGAGGACAATGTTTCTTTTTTCCTTTTTTTTTTTTTTTTGCTTTTTGGGTCACACCCGGTGATGCTCAGGGGTTCCTCCTGGCTCTGCACTCAGTAATCTCTCCTGACGGTGCTCAGAGGACTCTATGGGGTGCCGGAGTTCGAACCCAGGTCAGCCACATGCAAGGCAAATGCCCTCCTCCCTTTTGGGTTTTTTTTTTTAATTAGAGAACAATCAAAAGTAAAAACAAAATCAACCCGGGCAGCCACAGGCTGGAGGTGTGGTTAATCTACCCCCTGGAGAGAGGGGCCCGTGGGTGTTTTTCTGAGCCAGCATCTCGGGACCGGAACCCAAACGAGGCCCGGCACGCGGAAGCGGGCGCTGAATGATGAAGGCTTGCAGGTGGCATCACTAAGCCTGGAGAACCGGCTAAAACAAGTATCGGAACGAGCCTGGAGGCAGGACAGCGGGGAGGGGTTTGCCTTGCACGATTCCCTGCACCCCAGATGGTTTCCCGAGCACTGTCAGGAGTGAAGGCTGAGTGCAGAGCCAGGACTAAGTCCTGAGCACCTCTGGGTATGCCCCACCCCCGTCAAATAAACCAGCAGACCACAGTGCGGTTGAAGATTGGTGGAAGAGCCTAATTACTGGAAGAGCACTAATAAGTGCTTCTAACCCTGCCCGGAAAAGGAGGGAAAAATGCTACAGATGGTACCATACCGGCAGGAGAACATTCTAGAATGTAAGGGTGGGGCAGGGGGGCTGAGTCCAGGAAGACACTCCCAGTCTTGGACACAAAACCCCAGGACATCCAAGGGGGGTGTTGGGAGGACACCATGACTCAGACTAGAGGAGCACCCAACCTTCCCAGGCAAGCAGGAGTGAGGGGTCCCATTTCCTTCCTATGTAAAGAGTCCCCGTGAACAAATAAGAACACGGCCCTCCAAGACTCAGCGGAAACTCAGGCCAATGGAGGCGGCCCTGCCCTCGGAGGGTGGGGAAAGTGGCCTGAGGAGGCCTCCCCGGGGAGCCTGAGCCCGGCACTCACTTGTGCAGGTAGCCCTCGGCGCCCGCCGTCAGGTTGGCCCGAGTCACAGCCCGGAACTCCGTCTCGTTGCAGCAGTACTTGAAGACCGTGTTGTTATGGTGGCAGCACAGCGTCAGCGTCTTGTTGTCCGAGAGCCGGGGACAGTGGAAGCCAAAGTGGTAGCGGCCCTTGTGGTCCGTGTAGGGCTCGCACACGCGGAAGTGGGCTGACAGGACTGCGGCAGAGGCACCGGCTCAGGGGGCCTGTCCGGGGGTCGCCTGGCCCCTTCCGGCTCCCGGGACTGAGGCCAGTCTCGGCCGGTCTCGCCCGCTGGAGCTGACCACCTGGGCGTCCGGGCTCCCTGATGTCCCACCCCCGTCCCATCCCAGGGACCGACAGAGCCCGACAGCCCGGGAGGGAGCGGGGGGCTCCCGGGTCGCAGAAAGTCTCCCCCGCGGCCCCCAGGGGCTGTCCTGTCACCCCCAGCCCACAGTGCTTCTGACGGGGAACCTCTGCCCCGGGCTCGGGCCGTGCCGGGAAGGACGCACGGGAGCGGGGCCCACAGAGGAACCGCAGGGGGGAAACTGGGGCTTAACGGGGACCCTCGGAAAGTGCTTGCGGCTGCGTCTGACGAGGGCTGCCCCCCTCGAGGTAAGGTGGGGGCGGCCATGGCGCCAGAAAGGGGGTCGGGGTTGCTGCCTTGGTTGTTTCTGCACTGCGTGGTCCCGAGCCCTGGGGGTCAGGTGACCCCAGCACCGCAGGGCCGCCGGCCAAGGGCTCGGGAAGAGGGGGGGGCGGCAAGCCACACCCCACCCTGGCTGTGGGTGCGCTGCCTCTCCTCCGAGCCGCAGCCGCCCCGCCGGGAAGACGGGGTGACGGGCCCAGGAGCCAGCTCAGGGCACGGGCTGGGGTGCACAGCAATGCCCCCCAGCCCCCTGCACCCCTCAGCCTACAGACCCCTAGTGCCCTGCCCCCCTCATGACCTTGCTCTGGGTCACACGCCACAGGCCATGGAGTGAGGTCAAAGGAGAGACAGAGAGGGGCGACAGCGTGAGACAGAGACAGTCCGGCGGGAAGAGCATCTGCCTTGCATGTGGCCGACCCGGGTTCGATCCCCGGCATCCCATTGGGTCCCCCGAGCACCGCCAGGAGGGATTCCTGAGTGCAGAGCCAGGAGGAACCCCTGAGCATCGCCAGGTGTGACCCTCAAACAATAAACCCAAAATGGTCACTGTCACTGTCACTGTTCCCCCGTTGTTCATCGATTTGCTCGAGCGGGCCCAGTAACGTCTCCATTGGAGACTTTGTTGTTGTGACTGTGTTTGGCATATAGGATACGTCACGGGTGGCTTGCCAGGCTCTGCCGTGTGGGCGAGATCCTCTCGGTAGCTTGCCGGGCTCTCCGAGAGGGGCGGAGGAATCGAACTCGGGTCGGCCATGTTGGCTGCGTGCAAGGCAAACGGCCTACCGCTGTGCTATCGCTCCAGCCCCAACCCAAAATAAATTTTAAAAAATTTCAAAACAAATTTAAAAGAAAAGAGAGAGGACTGGAGCAATCGCACAGCGGGGAGGGCGTTTGCCTTGTAGCCGGCCGACCCGGGTTCGATTCCCAGCATCCCGTAGGGTCCCCTGAGCACTGCCAGGGGTGATTCCTGAGTGCAGAGCCAGGAGTAACCCCTGAGCGTCGCTGGGTGTGACCAAAAAAAAAAGAAAAAAAAGAGAGAGAGAGAAAGAGAGAGAGAAAGAGGGGAGGAGAGAAAGGGAGAGAGCTACCGGCTGAGGGTCTTGTCCATCCCCTGTAGCCTGGTGGCACCAGCAGACGTGAGCACTGTATGCTCATGCAGAAGCCTCAAGCTGGCCGCCCCTCCCCTGCCCCCAGCCTCAGTTTCCCCACGTTACTGACTCTGACTGGGGCCGGGCGTTCTCCCTGCCGCCCGCCCCATCCCGGGACCCCCGCCGGGCTCACCTGCGCAGGCCAGCACGGAGAGGACCAGCGCGGGGAGGGTCCGCCGGCCACTGCTGGTCATCGTTTGTCTGCATGGGTCCGCGGGGGTCTCCTGCCAACGAGAGCGGAGGTGGCGGGACCACCGGGGGCGGGGGGGGGGAGCGGGAGCCGCCATCCAATTTCCTCTGGAATGAGCGCCCGCCCGTGTCCCCGCTCCCAGCTGTCACCCGCCGCCTCCTTCACGGGATGAGACTTAATCAGAGCGGCCGGGCCCAGGTGCCCGACGGAGACGGAGACGCAGCGCAGAGGGGCCTGGGGGAGGGGGGGCAGGCGACGGGCACTCGGGCGGGGCAGGAACACGAGCTCTGAATCGCAAAGCCCCTACAGCCCAAAACGGGCTCCAAGGGGCCCCACACCTGCTGACCGTGACTGACAGCGGCCAGGCCGGGGGGGGGGTGCCCAGAGCACAGGGCTGTCTCCCTGGAGTAGTACTCAGCCTGGAAGGGGAGTGGGAGCAGCGCTTGCTGAGCACGGGTGGTGTGGGGGGACCCGGCCACTGCCCAAGGCCGGCCTCTGAGGCCCCCACGACAGCCGACGACTCGGACAGAAGGTGGAGGGGCCAAGGGGCACGTGTGGCCCCGGGGCCTGGGCCCCCTCAACTGCACCCTTAGAAAGGGCTGAGCCATGGCACAGCGGGGAGGGTGTTTGCCCGGCATGCGGCCGACCCGGGTTCAATCCCCAACATCCCGTAGGGTCCCCCGAGCACCGCCAGGAATAATTCCTGAGTGCAGAGCCAGGAGGAACCCCTGAGCATCACCAGGAGTGACCCAAAAAGAAAAAAAAAACAACCTCCAAGAACGTCCCGGACAAGGGCCCTGACCCGGCCCCTTGCGCCCACCCGAGCCTGGTTCCGATGCCCCCCAGGGCTGGAGAGAGGCAGAGCCGGGGGCTGGGGGGTGGACAGACCAGGACGGGGCAGCGGGGACCCAGGCAGGGGGCAGGGGGAGGGCGGGCAGGGGCGGGGAGAGACTGGGGTCCTGGGTGGGGGAGGGCGCCCCCTACGGGCCCTCGGCAAACCTGACTTGAGGCCTCCAAGTCTCCCCCCCAACCCCGTCTCCCTGCAGCCCCCCAACCCAGAGGCTCAGCCCCCTGGGCCCACGGAGCAGGAGCTGCACACCCACTCCCATGCACCCGGCCCCGCCCCCACCCTGTCCTGCTCCTCCCCAGGGACCCCAGGGGGTCTTGGGGGCCAGACCCAGCCCAGATCCTCAGTCAGGGAGTCAGCACAGTGGGGGCCAGGCCAGGCCCCGGCGCTGCCTCTGCTCTCACGGTAAGTGCTCGGAACCCCTGGGGGCCCGGGGGAAGTGGGGAGAGGGGCCACAGGACCAGCCTGACTGCAGAGGAGTAAACTGAGGCCCTCACGCTCCGAGGCTTCCCAGCCCAGCTGGCCACTCTGCGGCAGAGCTGGGATGCCTCAAGCCAGCGGCCTGGCCACGGGACTCTCAGGAGTCAAGAGCGGTGGTGGTGGTGGTGGTGGGGGGGACCCAGGGTGCTGCCACAAGCATCCCAGCAGGGGGCGTGTTTCGGGCCCCTCACCAGGTCCGGGGCCTCCTGCTGACGCGCAGTGAGCACAGTCAGGAGGACTCTGAGCCTCTGGGGTTCCCTGCTCCACCCGTGCCTTGCTGTGTGACCCTAGGCAAGTGTCTCACCCTCTCTGTGCCCGTAGGTCCTGCACAGGGAGGCGTGTCTCTGATGGGGGAGCCCCCGGGGGCCACCTGCCAAGGAGCAGGCGGGTGCCAGCCCACAGCAAGCCGACGGGGGTGGCGGAGTGAGTGACCTGCTCATTGTCCTCGGGGGGTACCGGCAGCACCCACCCCTGCCTGGGCACAGCGCCCACAGCCCCAGGTACCAGAATGTTCCGGAACATTCCAGAGAGAACCGGAATGTTCTGGGCAGCGCTGTTTATGAGAGGAGCGCCCTGGAGCCGACCCAGCGGCGCGGGGGGAAGGGCCTGGAGCTCTGCAGGAACCAGGCACCGTGGGGGCAGCAGGGGCCCTGCCGGGGGCCGCGGGGGGACCCCAGTGTGCCAGTGTTCCCCGAGGGCCAAGGAGCCTCCGCACATTCCCCAGGTGACGGGCACAGGAGCGGGGGTGCCGGGCGGGTGGGACAGGCAGGGCCGCGCTGGGCACCTCAGGGACCTGCCGGTCATTCTCCAGCAGGCGGCATCCAGGAGGGGTCAGAATGCCCAGGGTTCGAGGAGGGACCTCGTCCTGGGGGGTGGTCAAGTCGCCTCCAGGCAGAGAACGCAAGCCCCCTCTCCATAGTGGGTACAAGCTGGGGGCCCCCTCCAAGGCACTGTCTGCCCCCCCCGTCAGCTGAGTGAACCTCTCTGCCAGCACTCCTGGCCCTCACCTGACTGCTCCGAGCCCAAGAGGGCTTCCTGGAGGCGGTGACACTTCCAACAGCAGGAAGTCCTTCTCTAGGCTTCCAGAACATCCTCATTCCTGGCTCCCCTGCCCCGGCCCCCGGCTCTGTCCCCCACCTTCCCAGACGTGAGTAGCTGGAGACTCAGAGGCGGCCAGGGCGACTGCGTAAGAACATGCAGGCGGAGACCCTCGTGCCCGGGGCCACATGTGACCCGGTCCCCGTAGCATTGCACCCGGCTGTCCCCAGGGAGGGCCCAGCCAGCGTCCACCTATGCCGTGGGGACGGCCAGCAGGGGTCCATCTCCTCGCACGTGCTGAGCCGGGTGCAATCCTGGCAACACACCGGCCCCCCGAGCACAGAGGGGGGCACCCCAGATGCCCCCCACACAACAGCCTTGACGACAGGATGGAGCCAATGGTGACCTGAGCCCCCGGCTGCCCGCCCACACCCTGCCCGGCCGACTCCTTCTCCCCAAAGAGAAACTGAGACCAGAGAGGGTCTGTCTCTGGCCCGAGGTCACACAGCCAGCAGCTGGGCGGGGTCGGGGTGGAAATGGTCTTGGGCTCTCGGGCTTGAGCATCTGGGGTGAGCGCGGTGTATGGGGGGACTGCCCCCCAGAAACGGAATCACTGGGGACCCCCCTACTCCGGAAGCCCAGGGGGACTCATCCGGGGTCCGGCTGGTCCCATTCCCGACCCCAGCCGTCCTGTCCGAGTGGGCCGGCACCACCAGCACCACCCACGGCCCCCCGGCCTGGGGCAGCTGTGCCCAGCCCTGCGCGGAATCAGGCCCGTTTGGCAGAAGTCATGAGACTCAGTGTGGGGAGGGGGTGGCGGGTCCTGGGGGAAGCCCCCGACTGCCTCTGGCCCGGCTCCCGGCATGGACGCCCCCCCCCCGCCCCAGAAGCCCCCAGAGCATCTAAGGGCTCCTGGACGTGGCAGCGTGTGGCCTCGGTGGGGGCTCACACACCCCCTGCGTCTGTCTGCATGCTGGTCCCCAGGGCGGGGCTCCCGGCGGGGGCTGGGCGGGGCAGGGGACAGCCCCCCTCGGACAGTCCACAAATAAACTCCCGCGCTCCCCCGCCCTCCCACGGGGAGAGAAAATAGCTCCCACTAGAGTTTCGGGGCTTTTTTTTTCTTCACCTCACAGCTTCTAAATCGATCCAGAACAGATTGTCCAATTGTTTGAGTCTTGGGAGGGAAGACGCCCAGCCCTCCCCTGGGGGCCCGCCAGGCGCCTGCTAACCCACCCCCCGCCCGCACCCCAACCCCTACCCCCCACCTCCTCCTCCGGCACCCCCTGCAGATAATCAGGCCTCGAACCTGTCCTGAGCCCACAAGGCAAAGTCCAGACCTGCCTCCTCTGGGCCCTCAGAGCTGGCCCCGCCCCTCGTGCTCAGGGTCTGGGAGTCCCCTGGCTGGGGGCAGGGAGACCCCACGCATGGACACTATTTTCTTTGCTGTAACAGCCCCATTCTCGCTCAGCTCCCCCCCCCAGCCACACACACACACACACACACACACACACACACACACACACAGAGGTTTCCCCTCTTCAGGAAGGCCTCCCTGATACACAGCTCCCCTAGCCTGTCATTATCCACTTGGTGCTGTCCCTCCCCATGCCGCGGGCCCACGGAGAGCAGGGAACTGGCTGCAGTACTCCTGCAGACCTGGGGCCCCGACCCTGGGCCCCCCGCCCCGCCCCCGGAGCTGACCATGTCTCAAAAGGGGAAACGGTTTGTCTGGCTTCCCTGGGAGGCCACAGCAGGAATTTCAGCTGCCAGGCCTGAGGGTCGAGCCCATCCCCCGGTGACTCCTCTAACCCTGCCCGGGTCCCCTGTCATCCCCTAAAGGGAAGGACCTTGAGGAACAGTGACAGATGAGCACACGTGTGGTGCTGACCTCGGCCCCATGACCCTCCCTGGCAGCCAGGCCCGGGGGACACAGGCTGACAGGCGCCCGGCAGCTGCGTGGCCAATGGGAAGGATGTCCTGCGGCTGGGGGCCAGCCTGTCCCCTCCCCCACCCCATGTCCACCAAGGCCAGGAGGTGTTTGCACCCCTCACGGGGCCGGGGAAGGGGAGAGTCTCGGTCCAGCCCGCCTCATTCTGCCTGCAGGCTGGCACCCGTGGGTGGGGGCCCTTTACCATCCCCCGCAAACCGCCCGCCTCTGGGCCCCCGGGGAGCAAACACCGCCCGACTTAGTCGCCTCAGATGACGGTGCTCAGTGCTCACAGGGCCCATCCTGAGGATGGCAGCCCCCGGACGGTGCCCCCACCCCTGCAGCATGGTGGCAGCCCCCCAGAACAGCAGCCCCAGTCCTGTGCTCCAGCAAGGGGCGGAGGGTCCCAGTGTGCAGGGACCTGCCAGCGCTGACAGGCAGCACCACGGTCTACAGCTCCGACAGACCCACACGGGGGCCCACGGTGCCTCCACACCCCCAGGAAGGAGTTTGCACAACTGTGCAGAGAAACTGAAGTCACACACACACACACCCTCAGAGAGCCGTCACCATCACCTGTCACTCATCCATCCCTCCATCCACACACTCCTGTGCCAACACACTCATCTGTGTGCCCAGTCAGCCATCCATCTGTAGCTCCACTCACCATTCACACAGATACCACCCGCTCCTCTGTCCCCGCAACCCATCTGCCACTCCCACCACCCACCCACC